GAATCTTTGATGGCTCGGATTTGTCACAGTCTCTTTGCTCGGAATATCCAAAGCCGGTGACGGCCGTTCCTTGTGACTGCAACGTTTTGCCTTGCAACCCAAATATCACGGGCCTGTGTGCTCCGGACCTCCAGGGTTGTCAAGCAGAGGCAAGCTTTGATGATGACTTCATGGAGCTTGGTTGCTTTGAACGTTTGCCAAACCATGAGGTGAAGGACCCGAAGGACTCTTCATCTGCATACGATTGGTTTTGCATGAACTACACTGGGCAGACTCCTTGCATGAGTGGCCTACCATTCTACTCCATGAGATCCAATGCCATGACACCTGGCCTATGCTCAGAATTTTGCACCGGAAAAGGTCTGGACATATTTGGCTTGGTGGATGGGGAGGAATGCCGCTGTGGTGCTTCTGCAGTGAACCGAAATGGGAAGGATCAAAACATTGACATGCGACACTTGGAATTTGATCCAGCAGCACTTACCCCTCATACAAGTGACATGGGACTTTGCCCATTGAGACTGTTTCGCTATGCTGGACACTTTGAGGGTGGTGGTGTGCCATATGGGATTACCCAGCTACTTGAAGGTGATTCGGAGTATATCCGTTCCATCTACTCGGGGCGAAGAATTGAACACTCTGAGGATGCTCCCTCGAATTTACATCTGACCACAGAAGCCCCTGAATCGTTATCTCAAAGCAGCGAAGGCCAAGTGCCTGAAGGGTACAACCGTGATTGCTGGCCTGACAACTGTGGCCCTGGCCGTGGGCCATGGCAGGATCGTACCACAGATCTCCCACCAGGTGTTTCCTTGCGGCGGTTCATGGAATACGTTGTGATTCCTTACCACTTTGAAGATGGACTTGATGATGCTCGCAAGGAAGCCTTCCGTGTTGCAGTGAAGCGCTGGCACAGCAATACCTGTATCACACTGGCCGAAAAACCACCAATCAATATCTCTCGCCCCTACATCAAAGTTGGTCTCTACCAAGAAGGTTCTTGCTGGCTTTCAGGAATGGGATGGCCAGGATTCAATTGGGACAATACACCAAGGTACAGTAGAATCAACCTGGGGTTTTGCAATAGCATGAGCCATGTTGGAAGCATGATCCACGAAATTGGACATGCCATTGGAATGAACCATGAGCAGAAGCGTCCTGACGCCCAAGCTGCATGGAATGGACATGGCCCGCATTTGATCATGCATTGGCAAAACATCGACGCGGGCTGGATCTCCCAGTACCTTCCCGATGACAGGACCTACGTTGGTTCCACAAACCAAGGCCAAGCTTTGAAGTGCTATACTAGGGTCGAGCAAGTCACAAGCAACATTTGCAAAAGGACAAGAAGCAAGTTAATTTCAAAGAGAATTGAGTTCGTAGGGACACGACATTGCATCAAGTGTTGATCTAATGATCTCATAAATTAACGCTTGCGGAGGCCAGGACGACCCGTACTCTGGTTACGCCCCATATGACTACGGAAGCATCATGCACTATCCTCCTGGCAGCGCTTATGATACGGACCCTGCCTCCAACGAAAACTTGATGGGCAATCGCAAGCACTTGACCACCGGAGACATTGATCAGATCTTGGACGTGTACCAATGTATCCAAATTCCTGATACTTGCCCTGGATGTCAACAACAGCCAAGAGTCTGCAAGAGTTTTACTGTATCAAACACAAACTTACACTGTTTTTGATGGCATCACTTCAAAGTCGCTTCTTCCAACAACTCAGGACTTCGTTCCGCCTTTGCCATGCGATTTTGAAGATGTTGGATTTCCAACGTGTCATTGGTCAAATGTCGGGCAGATTGGGTGGTCTGTCAGAAGTGGCTCAACCCCAAGCAGCAATACAGGACCTTCTGCAGCAGCCAGTGGCTCCCAATACATCTATACAGAGGCGAGTGGTGGCTTGGAAGAAGGCAGAGGACTAAAAGAT